TAATCAATTATTACTAATCATTGTTTACACATTATTACATTACATTTCAGGCTATTGTGAAATTCGAATAAACTTTCAAAAATATTTTAAATTCTAAATTTGTTCAAGTTTCATTTTCTTTTTCGTTCATGATATGATTTTCATATGTAGTTACATATGTTTTTAAATTTTTTATGGCAATTTTGAACAAATTTGATGGATATGACTAAGAAATTCCAATTGGTCAAAGCAAAACGGCTTTTCTTTGTATTATTTGTTGAGTGGTTACACTAATTTAAATTTAAATCCTTCACATTAAACTTTTTCCAGTACAACTCATGTAATACTACTTACCTTTTATTCAAATAAAAACAAAAAGTAATGAAAAATTTCGTGGAATTTTGTACAAAATCAAAAATTATGAACAAACAATGTGTGCCGCGTAGTTTGTTTTGGTTTGATTTGGCAACTAAGCCAATGTATGTATGAATGCATATGCTTATATGACAGCGTTTGTCATACGTTGACGTGAGTCGGTGCGGCGTTGGTTGAATTGAATCGTGTTTGTGTATGTGTGCGATGGTCGAACGCATCAAAACCAAAACAAAAACTAATTCAAACTCAACGTTCACATTTGACGAAATCACTTTTTCACCACTGAAATCAGAAACGGCTCGCGAAATTTTTTATATTTCATGAATTCATGCAATAGCATGAACTAATACTTTTGGTTAATAAAACAAAACAATATTGAAAACTTTGCGTTTATTGTTCAAATTCACAATTACAAACTATGACATCAACATTGATATTAGGCATGTACTGCATCGATAGATATGTAAATATTTCAATCCAAAGTAAAACACAAAGTTTTTTTTTTGCTTTCTGCCGATGAAAGATCTTTGCTGTGATGTTAATGCGTTCATTCATTAGCTGTTATTTCTCCGCCGGCAGATTTCACTCGATGTGCGAGTGCGTAAGTACGTCACGGCATTCATGAATGCACAGTGTTTTCGACAGAGATGTTAAAACGTATTTTCGTCGCAAATATTCTCGGGGATCTGGTGGTGGCGTGGTTGACGACTCGGCAAACGTAGATTAAGAGCACCGCTTTGAATGTTGTTGTTGCTTTCAATGTTAGATGTCGTATTAGCCATAGGATATTTGGTAGTAAAGCGTAGTTACATTCTAAACCGAGTTCGAAACCCCCAGCATCATCTCCATGCAAAAGTTTACAATATTTTTTTTCCCAATTTTCGGTTTTTTTCTCTATCATTTTTTCGATGAGATTCGTCAAAAAATGAATGTTTTATGATTTTTCGAAAATGAGAATGATTGTTTTCTGTAAAAAACGGGGAAAAAGTTAAGTTTTAATTACTTCTCAGTTTCTTACAACGAAATTAGTTGAAATTTGGCGCTCTGAACAACAAAACAATGTTTGGCAGTTCAAAACGAGATTACATATCGGCAATTCCACACGAGATCAGAGAAGAGTTGTAATGTGGGGTCGCTGAATTGGCTGAAAACTGGCTTGGAGTTTTGTTTTCGATAGAAAATGAAGAAACCAAAATCTTGAGCCTGTAAGTGGCCCACATTTTCGATTTCATCCAGTGTAAATTTTCCGAAAAATTCGAAAAATCGAAAAAATGGGTTTGCGCCAACTGAAATCTAACTAAGAAGTTGTTAACACATTGCCAAACCACTGGTACCGTTAAAAAGGGAATCGATGGGGTTACAAAAACTGCCTAGTGACCCACTCCCTTTGACCCGTTGGGGCTCCCAAAAATGGGTTCAAATTATAAAAAGTGAAATATCTCAAATATATGTATGTTTTTTGTCGATTTTTTCGCGTTCAAAGATAGCTCATGTCACGCTGCTTCAGATAAGAAAATAAAATTCCGTGTAATAATAGGATTGAATTCGTGTAATTGACCTCGGCAGGTGAATCATATGTCATTTTTCACCGTTTTTGTGGGGAAAACGGTCAAAATGGCCTTCTACGACATTTTGATCTAAGAGAACTGCTATTTTTCGCCAAAATCCATGAAAATTTGACCTTTTGCACATCGGTTTACCTATAAATTTGGTCCGAAATCGACATTTCATCTAGAACAAGCGAATGGTTGAAATCTACATACAAAATCACATTTATGGCATAGAAAACTCACCTATAATGGAATGTCATGATTCTATTTGCACGTAATTTTAGACGATAAATCGATCTAAAGCTATCTTAACTCTGCCTGAAGGGCCTGAAAAATGGCCCTGTTCCAGAAGATGTTTTCAACTCGCAATACAAACACTTTTTTTGCTTCAAAAATGCCCTATTCTGCATTCAATCGTGAATGACTTTTATTTTTTTAGCGAAACCAATAAAAATATATCAATTTGCTAACAATTTTTGGCTCAATTCAGCGTTTTATATCTGAATGTTTGAATGTTTATTACGAATGATCTTTCTTTTGTTTATACAGTGAATATGTTTTGAGGCTATGAGAATCAGTCTTTCGACTATACAACATATGAAATTTTTCTTATGGTCTACGGTGGATATTAATTAATATAATTGTGAAAATTGGGATTGTGTTTGTGGAAAATCGATGAAAATCGATGAAAAACCACAATATGACTGAGTTTACTGGTTTTAAAAATTTTTTTGGTATGGTTTTTTTTTGTCTTTTTTTTCATATAAATAAATAAAATAAGAATAAAAATAAAAATATAATATTTGATGGGATTAGATCCCGGACTCTATGGAATAAGTATGACATTTGTTTACAATTTACATTAAATCTATTTCCCGAATCAGATTGTAATCTGATGATTGACAGTTTTCAATAAAGTTAATGTTTAATGTATCAATTACTTTATGGAAGGGGCAGATGCCCGTTATTTCTTCAAGCATTACAGTCGGCGTGCGTCGATGTAAATTAAAAATAGTTTTGATTATTTTATTTTGTAATATTTGAAATTTCTTTAAATGTGTGGTTGCTGCGGATGACCAAACTTGGCAACCGTAAGTTAGAATATGGCGGATGACGCACGTGTATATAAGTGTTTTGTTTGCAGTCGATAGATGGGAGTATGGTGCAAGTATGGAATATAGGGCACGGAAGCATTTATTGGCTCGGTCGATGCTGTTACCTATGCGATCGGTAAAAAGCAGCTTTGAATCGAATGTGACTCCGAGGTACTTCACCGCTCCGGTGAATTCGATAGTGTGTGGTCCATTTTTGAGTGTAGTAGATGGCTGACGTCTTCTTTTGTTGTCGAATGGGAATAGAATGGCCTGTGTTTTGGCTGTATTAATTTTTATTTTCCATTGATCAAAGTATTTTTGTAGTGACGAAAATGATTCATTCAGACGATTGATGATTGTTTTTGTTTGTTTGGCCGATGTGTACACCGCCGTATCGTCCGCATATAAGGCGGCCTGAGTGTTATTTGAAACCGGCAAATCAGCCACAAACAATGCGTATAGAATTGGGGAAATGCATGTACCCTGAGCTAAACCCGCCGGAATGTTAACTTCGTGCGATACACAGTTGTTCACATGAACAGCGAATTTTCTGTTGCGGATAAAGGCATTGATCATTTTAGTTAAATATAATGGAAGTTTCATTTTAATGAGCTTGTATATCAAACCGTCATGCCAAATTGAATCGAACGCTTTTTCTATATCTAAGCGTTTTATATCTAAAATCTTCATTTTGAGTGAATTTTTCAATGACAAAGTCGATTTGAGACCAAAATACAAGAAAATGGGTGTTTTATTGTTCACAGACCCCCATTATTTTCGAAAATAAATAGCAGTTTTCCAACATAAAAGTATCGAATTACGCAAATTTAAAGTACCTCCCCTACAAAATGACCGTTTTTCAGACCAATTTCTATATAAAACGCTGAATTGAGCCAAAAATGGTTAGCAAATTGGTATATTTTTAATTTGTTTCGCTAAAAAATAAGGGCCTAAGATTTTGGTTTTCTCATTTTCTATCGAAAACAAAACTCCAAGCCAATTTTCAGCCAATTCGGCGACCCCGCATTACAACTCTTCCCTGATTTCGTGTGGAATTGTCGATATATGTTATGTATGCCGTGCGCATGTGTGTAAATCCACAGCGAACGTATGTGTAATCGTTCTGTAAACAAATCTATGCGATTGTATGCACTGAAATCACTTTGTTTCGGTTTTTGAGTATTTAAAATTAAAACCAATGTTTCCGGTTTGAAATTATCATTTTAATCTCGATTATTCCATAATTTTCAGAAGGGATACTTACTCAGAGATGGTGTAGATGGAATTGTTGAAAAACAACGGACGCCATCTTGCATCTGGTAAAAGGATGTTAGAGTCACAATCAGAAGATACGTCCGACTGCTAGAAAATGTTGATTGAGACTGAAGCATCTGTGTATGTGCACATATCGCGTATGGGACATTCACAGCATTCGTCGCGTATACATGTGTGTACTGTGCATGTGGAGAAGCGGCGAAATGTGTGTGTATTCGTTTAGACATATGTTTCATTTTTAACAGATGCACAATTTCAAATGCCTTTATGAGAAAATCATAGTTACGCCCTTAAAATATACGAAAATTTAGAATTATTTCGCATTTTCATTGTAATTTTGGTTGAGATAGAAGAATTCTGATAGTTTGCTACCCAGATTTTTTATTATTTTTTTTTCTGATGAAAATAAAATATTCTGACTAAATATAGATTTTTATGTCCATTGTCAATTTGAATCCATTTCAAGTCTTCATCAAGTAAATAACTTTGCTAAGCTACACTGAAATTCAAGCTGACAATCGTTATTTCCATACCGTTTAGTTTTTTTACATACCTTTGTTTCCATTGAAAACTATCCAAACATCTTCTTTGAATCTATCGCACAGAAACATCGAAGTTTGGAATTTGAATGCCTCGTCCCAAAAATGAGCGAACAAAAACTCTCTACCCAACACATTGATTAGAGTTCAAATGAAACAACATGGTGAATTTCATGACAAAGGATTGCATTGTATTTTGAGTTTATGAATGTTTTATTTATATTCGTCATAAATGTATTGCCTGTGAACAAAATCAGTATTATTTTGAAGGCTCTTATTATTCAACTATATATTTGTCGAGTTTATTATTGAGTACACAAGTAGTTTCGAAAGAATGATTGAATTTGTTCATTCATTTGTGAATCGATGAAAATATGATACTTTTCTCTCTCTCTTGGAGAATAACAAAAACATATTCCTATATCCATGTCTTATCGGCTAATTTAACGTTCACACAAAAAAATTCAATGCGTAAATTGAGTACGTATCTTTACGTATAATACTGTCTACTTAAAATGGTTTTTTCTCTGTCAACAAAAAAATCATCAAAGTAAATAAATCTTGGGCTTAGTAACGGCCATACTTGTACTGCATGTATGAGTTATTTTCTGTTGATAGCTGTCTGGTGGTCAAGTACTCGGTGATCAATGGATTGGCAACGTGTTCTGTTTCAACGCGCATAACTTCAACCATATCGAAATCGCAGTTGACATCGTTCAATTTGCCGGTGAATTCGCATTCTTCTGATTTGAAGTAGATTTTCAGTTTGCGGGCTCCGTCCAGTTTTTGGCGAACCAAATTCAGTACATCAAAATTGAATCGATCGAACAGCTGCGAATTGTTGCGCAAATAAATTTTCTTCAGCGTTGGCGTATTTGCGGCATACATAAGCATGGCCTCTTGATAGCTCTTGAAATTTTGGCTGTTGACGCCCCAGTAAGCGAAAATCTCTTGGAGGCTCAATGCTTTTGACAGCAGGCTTGCATTCACCGCGATGTTCAGTTGCAATACTTTCAGCTGATCAAATGTGTTGATGGTTCGTGCGAAGTTGCCATCAATACCGATCTTTTCGAAATATAGACCTTCGATGTACGGTCCAAGCAGAATCAATTGATCCATTTTATTGGTGAGCGTGTGCCGAGTGAAGTCGGAAAACTTCAAATGCAATCGGTCGCAGAATCGTTGTTCGCACAAATCGTGTAAATCGTTGAAAATTGCCGGTATATCGGTGCGCATGACGTCAACGTACAGCTCATTGATGTGAATTTGTTCGTCCATCAGGCGACGGAGTGTGTTGCGTGACTTTGTGTACAACGAAAAGAAGCTGATGTTTGGATTGAGCTTCAACAATTGCTTTGCTTCAGCCACCGGCAATTCGGAGTTCGCATGCCATGCAAAGTATTCCAATTTCGGGTAGATTTGTTGCATCCAGTTGATTGTTGCATCGCCTGGTTTCTCCTCGAATTGCTGGCACAATGTCAACCGCTTCATGTCTGGGATGTGCTGTAACAGACACGCGTTGAGATCACCATACACTTTTGTATTCGAAACGGTAATCGATTCGACGCCATTCACCAATTTTGCCAGTGCCGGACGATGTGACATTCGTAAGCCACGAGCCCAGTTATCAATGCGCAGTATTTTGATCGGTGCCATTGTGTCGGTCTTCTTGAAGTGATATGCTTTGTTCACTTCTCGTAGAGTTGCCTTCTTTGCCAGCAATCGACCGAATGTCACATTTTCCATGCTCTTTGCGAAGCAACGGATGTATTCTTCTTCTTTTTGTGGCACCACCAAATCCCCATTTTCCGTGACATCCTTGATCGTCATGACCTTCGATTTGTGGCAACGCATGAATTGATTCGATGCCAATGTGTGCAGACGTCGGCATGTCTTTGACACGGCACAGAGATTGCTCAACGACAATTTCCCAAGAATTGTGTAAATGCAGTCATCATTGAGCGTCTCGAGAAACACTTTTTGCTTTCGCTTTGGCACCTCTGGCGTTTCTTTGTATTCGACTGGCACATCTTCCAATTCCTGAGCCGCCGCCTCCTCGAGCTTCATTCGTTTACGCTTTGGAGCCATTTGTCTGATGATTGATGTTGCTTTTGGAATGTGTATCGACGAATTGCACTGCGCAATTTCACAACCTAAAATAACGAAATGAATAAAACATCTGAATGCTAACGTGTTTCGATAGTTTTTTTTTCTTCACTACTTTTGTTATTCAATTGGTTTTTTTTTTTTATCAAACACAAAATTAACTTCATAATTTTCATCAAAATCACTTCACTAAAACTCGTAAATGAAATTAAAATCAAAAAGTCTATGTATCACTTACCTTTGAAATTTAAAAAAAAATGACAATTAACGCTTTGTTTGCTTTGGATTTTCGGTTCTAATTGCGTTCTTTTCGTAAACTCAAGGCGAAGCACCAACAACGACTGACGTTACATGGAAATACATGTAGATTCGCAGGGAGAAAACAGCAGCAAGTGATTCGGTGTAAGTGTGTTCGTACGTCAAAAACGCAGTAGAAATCCTCTAGTATCTCCACGCTGTCGTTGCGACGAATACACTCGAGATGCTGGTGAGTATTTGTTTGCGTTAACCGTACATCGTCTTTGTGTGCGTCAAGTCCGCAACATTGATGTTGATTGGGAAAAAAAACTTCGTTTGAATAATCTTTTGCGTATTTGATTCCAATGAAACTTATACCGGCATTGCCGATGTATTTGTAGCGTACATGCTGACGACGTAGACTGTGCGCTGTGTATAAACTTTGATTCTGTTGCTGAGAATAGCGGTTTTGCTTATTTTGAAACACGCAAAATCATGTCAACAAGTGTGTGAACACGATTGAAATGTCAACAAAGAGGTTCTTTTATACATTTTGACTCGCACAATCAGCCAGAACAACAATCATGCATGGTTTCCTTACAAACTAGAATGACTTTTGTAGTACGTTGTAAATGAGGTGTATTGTGGCATGGAAAGAAAAATGTTGAATGTTCTCAAATGTTTGAACGGTTTAACGGTTCCACAGCGAAATATTCTGTTATTTTCCTTTGAGAGCTATGCATTAAAATACATTTAGTAAATTTCTAACTCAAAAATTCTCCAATACTCTGTATCATTTTAACCAGCACCGTAGCTTGATATTGTGAATGTCTCTTATTTATCGGCAGTGTAATCATGGAATTCCATAAAACAAATTTGGATGCATTCGAAAAGAAGTATGCATTGCAATACTATGCAATTAAATTTGGATTTATGTCAGTATTTTTGAAAGCAGCTGCGTACACTTTGTAAGATCAACCAGTCATCAATGCTGTCATCGATGGTGACGTAAGTAGAATTCAATTGCGATTTTATTGCAAACTTAAATGATGAATGCAGTTCATCAGCCACCAAAGATCCACGAATCATTTTAGCTGGTCTCTAAGCAAATTTTCGCGTCTATTTTTCCCACTTCTTTTGATTGTGTCAAACTGCTGGAAATCAATATGCACAGCACACACATTCATATCCAAAATGTGACTTCTTCCCACGATAAAACATATAAGGAAAAAGAACACCAATGAATAACGCGGTGTTCTAGAAATTTAAATCAATTCGCACCAGGATAACAAATGAATACAACTCTCATTAGAGGTGAATTCGGATTGTTGAACATCTACTCATTTTTCATTGTTTGTGTAATATTTGAAAATAATTTTATTCACAAGAGTTTCGTTATTAAATGTAACGAATATCATAATTGGTACGATGTTGCCAATTACTACTTGAAATTCCGTAGATTTCATTATTATTCAAATCATAGAAATAGATTTTGTCATCTGAAAAACGCGTGATAATCTTAGTTGGTCCCCAATGCACATTGTGCAATCTTACAAAAAAGAGATTCGACAACAGCTTTTGATGAAATCATGGAAAATTTGTTGAATGTGAAGTTGACAACATAGTTGTCAACGAACGATTTAGCGAACGCAGCTATCGCTTCATTCTTTTCTATCTAAAGCCTTGAAAAAATATTTTTTTAAATATGAATAATATATCAAATTAAAGATTTTTACTTCCTCTTTCCAATGAATATATACACTTTGCTGATTTTGAAGACCTAGGTAGATAAATTGACATTCGAACATTGGAAAACTATCGTTCGCTAATTTAACGAACATTTTACCGTTCGAAACTTTCAGACGTCAATTTATCTGCCGAAGTCTTCATAATCAGCAAAGTGTATATATTCGTTGGAAAGAGGAAGGAAAATCCTGTAATTTAATATATTATTCATGTTTGAAAAATAATTTTTTAAAGGCTTTAGATAGAAAAGAATAAAGCAATAGCCGCGTTCGCTAAATCATTCGTTGACAACTATGGTTGACAAACGAGACAGGGCGTCGAAATGTATTCTGTAATTTCAGAAGAAAAATGTATAAAAAGAAAAAAAAGGCCATGAATATAGAAGTCAAGACTTTACGATTTTAAAAACTTTATTTATATATTGAGAAAATAAAACAATACAGTTTTTACATTACATTAGTGTTTTTTTGTCTGTGTATTTCTCTTAGGTTTTAGTTGTTATTTGTTTTCAAACTTAGATATCATCCAAATGAAAGCCGTAATTTTTTTTGCAATTTATTTAATAGTTTTTTTTTTATTTGAATGATTATTTTTTGGGTCATCATCGTGTTGCTCCGTTTTTTTTGTTGTAATTTTTTTTTTGGTATTTTTTTCATCATTTTTTTATCCTTAATTTTTAAGATAGAGATAATGTATGTATAATTATGTTCATTTTCGAATGAGAGATTTCTTTATGTTTTCATGTGTTGTGAATTCAATACAAAATAACAGAAATTCGAATGATAACACGATGTTTGTTTTTTGGTTTTCATTCTTTGTTTCTTTTCGTTTTTTGGAGGGGGGATCTCATCATTTTGTTTTAGTATATTCATTCACAACAATTAGTCAAAACGTCGGCGAAAAATGCAAAGATTCTGTGAATGAATCGAAAATGAAATTTATGTTATTATGAGTTTTTTTTTTCTGGTTTTTGTTTAGTTTGCCGGTGGCGAGAAAAACAAAACCGGAAAAATCGTCGTTACGGAGAAACGGAAATGTGTGTATGTGTGTGAAAATTGGTAATTTAGTGGAAAAAATGAATAGAAATCGAGTTTCTTTTGTGTGTGTCTGTGTATGTGTGTGTATGTGTTCGTACACCAGATTATCGAAAATGTTGCGAGTATACATACACGTATGTTTTCGCGTCGATAGTAATAATTTTATTGTGTTTGATTCCACAAGTTTTCTTCACATTTCGATTTCGCTGTCGATCTCACTGCTTTTGTGCAAAAAGTGTTTGTGTGTTAAGTTTTCGGTTCTTCCAATAATTCAATTTTCCAAATGTTTGAATTTTTTTTTCCTTCTACATGACTTTCTATATTTCCGTTTTGAGTGGTTGTTTGTTGTTGTAGGTGATGATGGCTATTACGACAAAAAAAAGTTTTGTTTGTTCTGTTATTCAAAACAAAAGAAAAAGAAGAGTTTAGGTTTACAATACACGTTTACGTTTAACTGGGTGAAACGTTTAAAAATATGTTGTATGGATTTATAAGGAAAAATAAAAACAATGACACGCCTTAATACAAAGAGAACGCTTTTATTTTTTCTTTCATTTTCCAATTCAAAATCGATAGCGATTTGTTCTTCTTCTTCTTCTTCCACTTTTTATTTTTCAACTTAAATGTCTTAATTCAAGTGAGAGTCGATACAATGAAATAAAAGAATCATTAAGTGTTGAGCCATCATTGGCTATGAATGATGCTGGTTTTGTTTGTGTGGATTGTTTGGATGATGGTCGGTGGCTTTCTCACAGAATTCAAGTATTCTCAAAGGTTTTTTTTTCTCACACAAAAATAAAAAAAGAAAATCTAATCAACAATGAAACAAATTTGATCATAAAAAATTTTCACTTCAAAAAGGTAGGTTTTTTGTTTGTTCCTCATTCCGAACTCAAATAGATTAAAAAATTGTTTAAATTTGTTTTTTTTTCTTTGTACAACAAATGCTCGCGTCCTCGTTGTTTGTACAAAAAGAAAAAGGAAGAAAAAACTAAAGACAAAAAAATTTCGTTTGTTTGCCAAATTTAATAATTTTGCCATTTGCCAACAAATCAAAGGATAAAAAGTTCACAATTTGTTATAGTGGTATTTGGTACATTTCAACTCACTTAATATTCTTCAAATGATTTTTCTCTTATTTGTTTCTTCTTTCAAATATAATTCTAAATAGAATGTGTTTTTTAAATGTTAATTTTTGTTTGTTTTCAAATAAATTACTTAAAGTAATGACAATTTTTGTACGTCCTTAATGCGTAACTTAGATTTAATCCATAAAATTGGCTCTTATTTTGGGTTTCTCTTCCAAAAAAAAAACTCATTTTCAAAATCAAATGGAATAAAAAAGGGTGAATCGTAATATGTGATACCTATAATTCTGGGCTACATCATTTGCTGATGTAGCCAATTCTATTTCGATCGCACACATTCTCTCCGCTCTTAATTCTTTCTCTTATTTTGTATTACTTTGTTATATCCACTTGGGAGTTTCTCTATATTCTCTCTCCCTCTCTTTCTGTTCATCTACTTTCCCAAAAGAAAAACATTTCTAGTTTTTTTTTTTAAATATATATAACTCACAAACTTACATCGATAGACGATACGATTCTGTCGACAATACAGACAGAGAGCATCATTTTCGTCATATATATAAATATTTGTTGTTGCTGTTATTTTCTTGTGATTATCATTTTTAGTGAATTTCTCGACCGCTTATCGAGTTCATATTAACATTTGCCGTGCGATTGACGGTCGATAGGGACTTTGCCTTGGAGTTGGCATTTTGTTGTTGATGGTTATCGGTTTTAGTTTTGCACATTGTGTCGGCCTGCACTTTATCATCTTGTACATTTCCATGCATTTCATCATCGTTCTTATTCTTCAGTTTTTCTGGGTTTTCTACTTTTATCCTCGAAACGACTAAGCGTTTTTTGCTTTAAATTTTTTGTTTTCTCTTTTCGAAATGGCCAGACGCGTGTCAGTGTCAGAAATTGGCTCAGACCACATCGAATGTTGATTAAAATTGATTGGATAGATTAGGATGTATATAAAAGAGACCATGTCTAAAATCTATTTCGCGCTTGTCTCCGAAAAAGTGTTTTTTTTTGCAAAATCTATTTTCGTTTTGTTTTCCATTCATTTTAGCTTCGACGAAAAAATTTGCTTTTTCTCTCATGTTTTTCCCCCTTTGTCGTTCATCCATAAATTTGTTTTTATACCAAGACTTTAAATTTGTATGTACATCATGAATTTTTTTCATCAAGTTCCTAAATTTTCTTTATTAGCATTTTTTTCTTTAAATTATATTTACGAGTTAGTTAGGTTTTTTTTCTTCATTTTTCACCTCTTCATCCTCTGCCATTTGCCTAAATCTAAATTTTTGCCTTTTTTTTCTTCTCTTTTCAATATAAACAAAAACAATGAGAGTCACTATAATTATT